AATTGGGGAAAAAAGGTGCGGAGAAGAAGTTATTCCGGTTGGCCAAGTTGAGAGAGAGGAAGGCTCGAGATTTGGATCAAGTGAGATGCATCAAGGACGAAGATGGTAGAGTATTGATGGAAGATGCCCAGATTAAGAGGAGATGGCAGGCTTACTTTCATAAACTTCTGAATGAAGAAGGGGGTCGGGATATTGTGCTAGGTGAATTGGAGCATCCCGAGAGTGACCGTGACTTTGGGTACTACAGGCGTATCGAGGTTGAGGAGGTTGTGGGAGCTATGCGTAAGATGAGTAGGGGCAGAGCGACCGGGCCAGACGAAATTTCGGTGAAATTTTGGAAGTGTGTGGGGAGGGCAGGTTTGGAGTGGTTGACTAGGTTGTTTAATATTATTTTTAAAGGGAAGAGGATGCCGGATGAGTGAAGATGGAGTACGGTGGTTCCATTGTATAAGAAAAAAGGTGATATCCAGAGTTGTAACAATTATAGGGATATCAAATTACTGAGTCATACCATGAAAGTGTGGGAGAGGGTGGTTGAAGCGAGGGTGAGGATGACAATGTCTGTATTCGACAACCAGTTCGGGTTCATGCCGGGTCGTTCGACTACAGAAGCTATACACCTTGTTAGAAGGTTGGTGGAACTATACAGAGAGAGGAAGAAGGATCTACACATGGTGTTTATTGACCTAGAGAAAGCATATGACAAGGTTCCTAGAGAAATTCTCTGATGATGCCTGGAGGAAAAAGGTGTGTCGGTTCCATACATAATGGCGATTAAGGACATGTATGACGGGGCTAAGACTCGGGTTAGGACAGTAGGAGGCGACTCTGAGTATTTTTCGGTTGTAATGGGGTTACACCAAGGTTCTGCGCTCAGTCCGTTCTTATTCACTCTAGTGATGGACGCGTTAACACACCATATTCAAGGGGATGTGCCATGGTGCAATGCTATTCGCCGATGACATAGTTCTGATTGATAAGTCGCGAGCCGGTGTTAACGAGAGGCTGAAGGTTTGGAGACAGGCTCTTGAGTCTAAGGGTTTCAAGCTGAGCAGGACGAAGATGGAATACCTGGAGTGTAAGTTCAGCGCTGAGCCAGGGGAAGAGGGCATGGATGTGAGGCTTGATTCGCAGGTCATCCCGAGTAGAGGCAGCTTCAAGTACCTTGGTTCGGTTATCGAGGGGGGAGGGGAGATTGACGAGGATGTCACACACCNGGCCATGATGTATGGGGCTGAGTGTTGGCCCGTTAAGAACTCACATATCCAGACGATGAAAGTAGCAAAAATGAGGATGTTGCGGTGGATGTGCGGGCATACTAGGATAGATAAGATTAGGAATGATGATATCCGGGAGAAGGTGCATGTGGCTCCCATTGATGACAAGATGCGGGAAGCGANTGCGGTGGATGTGCGGGCATACTAGGATAGATAAGATTAGGAATGATGATATCCGGGAGAAGGTGCATGTGGCTCCCATTGATGATAAGATGCGGGAAGCGAGGCTTAGATGGTTCAGACATGTTCAGAGGAGAAGCCCAGATGCTGCGGTACGGAGGTGTGAGCAGCTGGTTGTAGAAGGCACGAGAAGAGGTAGAAGGCGACCTAAGAAGTATTGGGGAGAGGTGATCAGGCAGGATATGGCGATGCTCCAGATTTTCGAGGACATGTCACTTGATAGGAAGATGTAGAGGTCGAGCATTAGGGTTGTAGGTTAGGAGGTAGTTGAGTCGTGCCTTACTTCGTACCATTGCGGGACTAGCCATGTAGGGATTTTGTCTAAGATAGCTAGTGGCAATGTTGTGGCTTACTATTTCGCTTTTCAGTGCATGTCCTATTTACTAGCTATCGCTTTTGCTTTGCAATTTTTTTCTAGATTTCATGGTGTTCCTATTTTTCTTATGATTTTTGTGGTGATACTAATATTTACTAATATTGTCTCCCTTTGCTTTGCATCTTTTTTCTGTATTTCATGGTGTTCCTATTTATCCTATGATTGTTGTTGTGATACTAATATTGTCTCTTTTTTTGTCTTTTTATCATTTTATCTTTTTATTTTTTTGAGCCGAGGGTCTTTCGGAAACAGCCTCTCTACTCCTTCAGGGTAGGGGTAAGGTCTGCGTACACACTACCCTCCCCAGACCCCATTAGTGGAATTTTACTGGGTCGTTGTTGTTGTACATAGTATGATTAGCTCTCAACATTTGAGATTCTGGATATCTCTTTGTTTTCTTCGGAAATCTTACGTATATATTGTGAGCATCTAATTTTTTACTATATTTGAATTTTTATCACCTTCTACTATGTAAATATTTTCAGAAATTTAATATATATTTTTAACTTTGTTACACTTTTATATATAGGGTAAAAATTAATAATAATTTAAAAGATCAATTATTACTATTAGTATTATTTTTTTTTCTTTATTTTAAAATACAATAAAATAAAATAAAAACTGATTTTTTTTAAATATTTAAAAAAAATAAAAAATAGAAAAAGTAGAAATATAGAATTAAAAAGTAAAAGTAAAAGTAGGTGAAAATATTTAATAAAAAGGTAAAAGAAAGTGAAATTTTTTAAAAATAAAAGTATAAGAATGTAAAAATTTTAAAAAATGAAAAGTAAAAGAAAGTTAAAATTAAAAAATAAAAGTAAAGGTAACTGAATTTTTTTTTTAAAAAAAGTAAAAGAGAGTGGAAATTAAAAAAAAAATAAAAAAAGTGAAAAAAAAAGAAAAGTAAAAAAGGTGGAAATTTAAATATAATAAAAGTAAAAAAGTGAGAAATTTAAAAATTAAAGTAAAGGAAAGTGGGGACTTATTTTTTTTTAAAAAGAAGAAAAATGGGAAGTGAGAATTCTTTTTAATTAAAAAAAAAAACTGAAAAAATTTCGATTTTTTTTTTCTATAAATAGAAGAGAAATGTGAGGAAAAAAAGGAAGAGAGAAAAGAAGGGAGGAGGAAATTGAGAGAAATGTTTTTGCCTATTCTACGCTAAGAGAATTTCTATTCGTGTCATTCTTTCTTCGGCTTTCTTTCGAAAAATCCAGCAATCCATCATCAAACTCCAACCCCAAAATCAACTGGAAACCAAGCTAAAAAGCACGATAAAAACGAGCCGAAAACCCAGAGAAACAGTCCCCTTTTGTACAGAAAACAACAGCTCCAAAGTTTAGTCGTCGAGTTCGAGCTCCGTTTGTCGATTTTGGTCGAGGCTCCATTTGAATCCTTGTCCATTATCCGAGCTTCAAAACAATCTTGTAAAGGCCCATTTCTCCATCATTGTTTTGTTAAGATATTATGCTTGAATATATAATTTGATCTTATTTAGCTTCATGAAGATTGAAATATTTTTCTGTATTAATTGTTAGGTCTCATTAACTTTGTTAAATTTTGTTACTTTCTTGTTTGATTAATATGAAGATTGATGAAAACATAATTTTTGGGTACGTAGTGAATGTTTGAACTTTGGGGATAAAATTCATGTATGCTAGTTGAAATTGAAAAATGAGGTTTGGAGTTTAAAAAAAAAATGATTGGGCCCGGTGGTTGGGCTTTGCTTAATAAAACATATACTACTGCAATTGACTAATGGATAGTGGAGTAGCTTGATGGACTAGTAACCGGGCATACTCATTAATTGGCTTTAAAAAGCCAATTGCGCTATGATCAATTTTAAGTTATCTGGGCCAGAATAATTAAGAGCAAAAGCTTATCCTTTTCACAATTGATTTCATAATTCACGGCCTCACTAATCTCAAATCTTAGGAGAATAAATAATATCCGAACCTCGTAGCTTGCTTTAGGCGTGATTAATAATAAATCATCGTGACTCTGGGTACGGTTCCTGTGGCATAGTCATGATACGTAAACCCCAATTCAAGTGCGCGTTTCACGCGATTTGACCATAACTTCAAATAATAATAAAAACAATCATGTTATAAATCGCGGGTGCGTTTCACCTGGCGCAGTTTGCATAAAAAGGAAGTGATGCACGTGCTAGTAATTATACGAATTTCTTATATATATTATTAAAAAAATTATTCATTGTAATCACTATTCTCTCCTATCATTTTTACCTGTCTGTTTAGATTTTGAATAGGTACAAATTAAAAGATCTATTTAATAATATTAATCATAAAGAATATTTGACCAAATTATCTTTATCTCTTCATTGAATGAGTAATTCTTGGAATAATAAGAATAAATTTAAAAAATGTAATGCCTTCTACGTTTACTAAGAGATAAATATTTTCATTTTTGTGACTAAAGTGATAGATAAAAGATATAAAAAAAATTACATTCCATTTGCTTTTAATTTATGTAAAATTATTTTTTTACTAGTTTAATTTTTTTAATTTGTTTTTTATATTTTAAATAGTTAACTTAAAACTCTCATTTATTCTTAATGTCATGATCCCACAAACATCATTGCTATTATCACAAATTCCAAAAAAAAAAACTTAAATTTTGCATTAAGTTAAATATGTCATATAAATTACAACGAATGGAGGAACGTATAAGTTTTCGTTTTGCATAACAATGCAGTTTTTAACGTACTCGTCAACTAGACTATCTTAATCATACGATGTAAGTTTTGTAAGTATTATTCGCATTCAAATAGTTATATTAACCAATAAATACATAATATATATTTTTATATTTATTCTTATCATTAAGTTATATTACAATAATAACAAATCTAATATAATCTCGTAAGCGGGATTTGACGTGAATAGTGTGTATACAAATCTTATCTCTACTTTGTTAATATAGAAAAGTTATTTTCGATAGATCATCGATTCAAAAAAAAATATAATCATAGCATAGTAAAAGAAATAGAATAAAGGGAATGCCATAGAAAAAAATAAAAAGCAGAAACAAAATAATACTCTACAATAACATTATAATAAGATAATAAAGATTTAAATATAAATATATTATTTAAATTAGTAGTTTAGTTTCGGTGTAAACTGTAAACACCAAATGCGAGTAACGTTTATATTCACCTCTTCACTCTCTTCCTTCTCAAACACACTTTCACATTCAAACCCAACAAATCCGCCACTTATCCATTATTTGTACTGCTACTACTACGTAGTCCAGTACTTATATTATTCACTCACTCCTCGGAATCTCTTCAGTTTCCCGCTACTCTTTCTCTCTCTAAAAATCTAAATCTTAAACCCTAATTCACTGAAAACGGTCCGTTTCATTCAATTCTACTTCGCTTTATCCTTCTCTCTCTGCATTTAGGTATATGTTTCTGTATCTATAGTTTTTGTCTTGTCTCTCTACCCTGTTTATTTGACGGTTACTTAACAATTCAAGTGTTTTTCTGCATTTTTCTCCATATCTTATTCATTTCTGTTATGCTTTCAAGTTTTTTGGTTTTATTTTTTGCTGATTCTTGCTGTTTTTTAAGGCGATAATTCTCTTTGTTGTAAACTTTTTGATCATGTTCCGTTGCTGATAAAATGCTTGTTCAAAGTTTTGATCTTTGTTGATTTGAATTTTGTTTTTGTAATTAAAAATGAATTTTTTTATTTTTTGTGTACTTTATTAGTTGTAGAGGAGGACCTTTAGGGACACTAATGAAATTGAAATGGTAGGGAGACGATTAGTATGGCCACTACACGAAAATGTTATGCACAAATTGATTTGGAGAGGATACAAGTGATATACATAGCGGATCTTTACTAGTTTGGGATCAAGGCGTAGTTGATTGATTGATTAGTTCTTGAGGAGCACACAATTGATTGATTAGTTCTTGAGGAGCACACAAATTCGTATTCTGATTGAAAAAGAAGTTTCTCTTTTTTTTTTCGTGTGTAATTAGTAGCTCTTGCCACTCCCAAGTCTAGATAAAAGAAAAGGGTCCTTTTGGTTGACGGCTAGTATAAAGATAGTGTAACATTATACTGAATTGTTGGGCCCAATGTAGGTGTGCCTACAGAGTATGTAGAATGGAATAGATAGATTCCTATCGCCAACCCTTACTTGGCTTTGGGCATGGCTGCTGTTTTTTTCATATGCACTCGGAAATTGTTCCTATGGAAGTTGAGTGTGTAACTAATATTTAATTGTTCTTATTGCTTGTAATTTTTCTTTTGCAGTCTGAGGATATCTTTTGGCTGCAAGATAATGATACAAGTTAAGGAGGAATCTCAGACTCTGGACTTCAGTGGATTTGCTTCTTGTTCATCTTTCTCTGATAGCAGTTACGAGGCTAGCACTCCGAGATACTCCTCCGAACCTGGGTAAGCCGAATTTTTTTTAATTTGCTTTCGATCATGAAGTTGGGCCTCAAATAAGGTCATTGAAGTAAGTGGTTGATTGATGTAATTTTGTTTCACTTCATTTTTGTAAATCCTATTTCAGTTCTAGTTATCGAAGGAGCTCTGGTCCAACTAAACGTTCTTCCCAGGCAGGCTGGACGGAAGAAGAGGTAAATGGCTAGTCGCTGGAGCTCGTGTTTACCCTCTTTATACGTTAAAATTTTAAGTGCATTACTTCTCTACCAAAGCTTCCTGTGTACTTGTATGATGAATTTCTATAACCTTGTGAGTGTGTCTCCATGATAGTTAGGTACTTATACAATTATCTACGCGAGTTGTCATGTCTTTTTTCCTTTTGGTTTCTTTGAGGCATGTGGTTGCTTAGGATGTATTGAGCAAGTGAAAGGATTAATATAAAACTTTGTTAGTCAGAATTCCAGTTCTGTTTGCTCATTTTTACTATTTCCATAGGCTCGTTTCTTTTGATCCAGAAATTTCTGACTTCTTTATTCCTTTCACAGGATAATCTGTTGACTGAAGTGGTGAAAAGGTTCAAAGGGAGAAACTGGAAAAAGATAGGTAATACACCATTTATTCTGTCATGCTCTGTACTTTTCAGCTAGGTTAACCACAATGGCCTTTACTTTTTGCTCCTAGTCGCTTTATGGCCTGTGTCCTGCCCCAGGATACTGTAATCTGGGACAAGCATAGGGAAATGGCTTGCGTGGGGAAATATCTGCATGAGTGGTTTTTAGTGCCTTAGAACACTAGCACCCCAGACCCCACTTTGTGGGATTTCACTGGGTTTGTTGTTGTAGAACACTAGCACTTCTGTTTGCAGGCATTTGCTGCCTCCTAAGTTGTCTCCTTTTACCGTGAAAGTGACAACAAAACACGTTGACACTGGTTATTGAGTTAACGAACTACCTGCACTATGAAAATTACATACATGAAACCAGTTCATTATCTACTATTACTCAGTAGGTGCAAGGACGCAATTTTAGGAAGCCTCTATGATCTACCTTTCTTTCAATCCTTTTCGGTACAATTGAACGTTTACTATCTTTTGAATACCTGGCTATGTCATGGAGTGACTTATACTGCTGTATCTATGAGGAAAATTTATCTGCTGAACTTTTTGTGTGATTTGTGTTCTCTTTTGTTCTATAGCTGAGTGCATGAATGGAAGGACTGATGTGCAGTGCTTGCATCGCTGGCAGAAGGTTCTGAATCCTGAACTTGTAAAGGGTCCTTGGTCAAAGGAGGTGCGAATCGATTTTACAACCATTGGTTTGCTTGGAGTTCAATTTCTATATGTCAAGAATATAATCATTAAGACAGTTGTTTTGTTCCTTCTGGAATTTCAGGAGGATGACCTGATTGTTGAGTTAGTTGAGAAATATGGCTGTAAGAAGTGGTCTTTTATTGCTAAGTCTATGCCTGGTCGCATTGGCAAGCAATGTCGGGAAAGGTCAGTTTCCAACTCTGCCTAAATCTGTTGCTATGCAACAGTTAATTATATGTTTTTATACCTCCAGTTAATTTACATGCTCATAAAATCATTACTTGCAAAACACTTCCTGGAACATCTGTTGTCTACTTACTGAATTCTTTCCTGGCCTTGAAAACTCATTTTTCTCGTGTCATGCAGATATCATATCTTTATCCTATTTTAACTTAGCCCTGTTGGGTTTTCTTTCCTGTGAAAGCACATCTTGTTTACTTCCTGTTAGCTATTTTTTGATGTTGTATTGTGTCTTTTCAAAACAGTCAATCAATCAACTATGCCTCAATTCCATACTAGTTGGGATTGAAAAATCCGTAATATAATTTGAGGCACAAGCCTCCTTTATCTGGATTCAGACCTGCTATTTTTGTGCATAGGCGGAGTTTTATATATTTTTAAGTGAATAAGAAAAAGCATGACAACCGGGAGCAGCTAAATATTTGATTACTTTGATTTACTGGTGAATGCTTTGTTGAATTTTGCAGTTAAAGGAGACTTGCCGCTACATGTTCTGTTCTAATTGAAAAAGAAACATGACATTGATTTCAATTTATTATACTTGTTGCAATCTGCTGTGTACACTTATGTTGATAGTATCCTTGGATGTCACAGGTGGCACAACCATCTTGACCCAACAATAAAAAGAGATGCTTGGACGGAACAGGAAGAATCAGTCCTATGCCACTATCACCAAATATACGGGAACAAGTGGGCAGAAATTGCGAGGTTTCTGCCTGGAAGGTAAGCTAGAAAATCTATTTCTTCAATTATGTTTAAGGGTGTTTGATGTAGAGAAGCTTTGGGCATTCCCAGACCCTACAACAACAACAACAACAACAACAACCTATTGAAATCCCACTAGTGGGGTCTGGGGAGGATAGTGTGTACGTAGACCTTACCCCTACCCCGAACAGGTAGAGAGGCTGTTTCCGAAAGACCCTCGGCTCAAGAGGGCAAAAAGACAAAATAAGACAATATCAGTGTCACCACAGAAATCATAGGAAAAATAGGAACATGAAATCCAGAAGAAAGATGCAAAGCAAAAACGAAAAAAGCAAAAACAAAAACAATAGCTAGTAAATAGGTCCGACACTGAAACGCAAAATAGTAAGACACGACATTGCCACTAGGTAGCTTAGACAAAAACCCTACCAGACTAGTCTCACAACGGTACGAAATAAGGCAAGACTCAACTACCTCCTAACCTACAACCCTAATACTCGACCTCCACATCTTCCTATCAAGTGTCATGTCCTCGAAAATCTGAAGCCTCGCCATGTCCTGCCTGATCACCTCTCCCCAATATTTTTTCGGCCGCCCTCTACCTCTTCTCGTGCCCTCCACAACCAGTCGCTCACACCTCCTTACCGGGGCATCTGGGCTCCTCCTCTGTACATGCCCGAACCATCTGAGCTTCGCTTCCCGCATCTTGTCATCAATGGGAGCCACGCGCACTTTCTCCCGAATATCAACATTCCTGATCTTATCCATCCTAGTGTGCCCGCACATCCACCTCAACATCATCATTTCTGCTACTCTCATCTTCTGGATATGTGAGTTCTTAACAGCCCAACACTCAGTCCCGTACATCATGGCCGTCTAACCACCGCTTTATAGAACTTACCTTTGAGTATCGGTGGCACTTTCTTGTCACACAAGACTCCAGATGCTAACCTCCACTTCATCCATCCTACCCCAATACGTTGTGTGACATCCTCGTCGATCTCCCCTCCCCCCTGGATAACCGACCCAAGGTACTTGAAGCTGCCTTTACTTGGGATGACCTGTGAGTCAAGCCTCACATCCACGTCCACTTCCCCGGCTCAGCGTTGAACTTACACTCTAGGTATTCCGTCTTCGTCCTACTCAGCTTGAAACCCTTAGACTCAAGAGCATGTCTCCAAACCTCCAGCCTCTCGTTAACGTTGACTCGCGTTTCATCAATCAAAACTATGTCATCGGCGAATAGCATGCACCATGGCACCTCCCCTTGAATATGGTGTGTTAACGCGTCCAACACAAGGGCGAATAGGAACGGACTGAGCGCAGAGCCTTGATGTAGCCCCATAATAACCGGAAAATGCTCAGAGTCGCCTCCTACTGTCCTTACCCGTGTCTTAGTCCCATCATACATGTCCTTAATCGCCATAATGTAAAGAACCGACACACCTTTTGCCTCCAAGCATCTCCAGAGAACTTCTCTAGGAACCTTGTCATATGCTTTCTCTAGGTCAATAAAAACCATGTGCAGGTCCTTCTTCCTATCTTTGTACTGTTCAACCCGCCTAACAAGGTGTATAGCTTCTGTAGTAGAACGACCCGGCATGAACCCGAACTGGTTGTCGGAAACAGACACTGACATCCTCACCCTCGCTTCAATCACCCTCTCCCACACTTTCATGGTATGACTCAGTAATTTGATACCCCTATAATTGTTACAACTCTGGATATCACCTTTGTTCTTATACAGTGGAACCACCATACTCCACCTCCACTTATCCGGCATCCTCTTCGCCTTAAATATAACATTGAACAACCCAGTCAACCACTCCAAACCTGCTCTCCCCACACACTTCCAAAATTCCACCGGAATCTCGTCAGGCCCTGTCGCTCTGCCCCTACTCATCTTACTCATAGCTCCCACGACCTCGCCCACCTTGATGCGCCTGCAGTACCCAAAGTTACGGTGACTCTCGGAATGCTCCAATTCACCTAGCACGATATCCCGATCCCCTTCTTCATTCAGAAGTTTATGAAAGTAAGTCTGCCATCTCTTCTTAATCTGGGAATCTTCCATCAATACTCTACCATCGTCGTCCTTGATACATCTCACTTGGTCCAAATCCCGAGCCTTCCTCTCTATCAACTTGGCCAGCCGGAATAGCTTCTTCTCCCCGCCTTTTTCCCCCATTTCCTCGTACATACGACCATAAGCTGCAGCTTTAGCCTCCGTGACCGCCAACTTAGCTTCCTTCTTAGCTACCTTATACCTCTCCATGCAAGCACGCCTCTCATCCTCACCTATGCTCCCCACTAACTTCAGGTACGCCGCTTTCTTCGCTTCCACTTTACCCTGTACCACTTCATTCCACCACCAATCTCCTTTGTGCCCGCCAGCGTCGCCCGTCGAGACCCCTAACACCTCTCTCGCAGCCTTCCTTATACAGTCTACTGTCGTGGACCACATAGTGCTCGCGTCACCACTGCCCCTCCAAGCTCCCATAGCCGACAACAGCCCCTCCAACTCTTGGGCTTTATCCTTAGTTAAGGCTCCCCACCTGATTCTCGGTCTTCCTCGAGCAAACCTTTTCCTCCTCTTCAACATAATACCAACGTCCATTACCAAGAGCACATGCTGCGTCGTGAGTATCTCACCTGGAATCACCTTGCAATCCTTGCACAACCCTCTGTCACACCTCCTGGGGAGGAGATAGTCAATCTGGGTCTTCGCCACCGCATTTTGAAAAGTAACCAAATGCTCCTCCCTCTTCGGAAAGGTAGAGTTCGCAATCACCAACCCAAAAGCCTTAGCGAAGTCCAACAACGAGGTACCTCCTCCGTTCCTCTCCACAAAACCGAACCCTCCATGCACCTCACTATAACCACCTGCGGCCGACCCAATATGACCATTTGAAATCCCCTCCTATGAATAGCTTCTCAGCAAGCGGAACCTGGCGCACAATCTCATCCAACCCCTCCCAAAAACGCCGTTTAACCTCCTCATCTAGGCCCGCATGTGGCGCATAGGCGCTAACGACGTTTAGGGTGCGCTCTCCAACCACCAACTTAATATTCATCAATCTATCATTCACTCGTCTAACCTCAACCACAGACTTTCTAAGTTCCTTATCCACCAAGATACCCACTCCATTCTTACCCTTCTGGACTCCTGAGTACCAAAGTTTATACCCATCCGCGTCCCTCGCCCTCGACCCTACCACCTTGTCTCTTGGACGCACGCTATATTGACCCTCCTCTTCTTGAGGATCTTTGCCAACTCTATAGACTTACCCGTCAATGTACCTACATTCCATGACCCAATTCTCNTTAACACACACAACAACCCAAACTAGAAGAAGACAAGTTGCAACTTAAGGCACACTAATACGGTGAATAAACAAATATGGACTAAGACGATAACAATTTAACTAATTATAAATTAAAGACACAAGATCAGCAAGATATGTGCAACTAAATACCCTAGACAGTGCTAATAGGGCCGAGAGCAAATACAAAGGATCTAAACAGTACAAGTGAGTCAAACAATTAAATGATCTAAGCAAATAAACCACGGCTATAGCACAATACTAGTATAGAACACACTACGAACAATGAAATAAATTTAAACAAAGTGTATCTGCGACAAAGTGTAATGAGACAGGAATGTATAATCTGGTGTCGTCGACGGAGACGGTGGGGCCGATGGTAGTAGTGAGAAGATGATGCCGGATGAGTGGAGGTGGAGTACGTCGCCGGTGTCTCGCCGGCAGTGAGAGATGGAGAAGACAAGAAGGAAAAGAGGAGAAGCGGGGTGAGAGAGATGGGGGGAAGAGAGGGAAGGAGGGGCGTGGGCTGATGAAGAGGAGAGTGGAGTGGAGAGAGAGGGGACTTACCTGGGCGGAGGGTAGTCGCCGGTGACTGAATTGGTCGCTGGTTTTGTTACCGTTATGTTACCGTTAAGTAATTTGCAAAATCTATCCCTATCTCATACCAATCAGTGCATGGTGCTGAAATCTCATCATTACTACAAGTGTGATATATCATATATCTCGTATGCCAAATCAAACACAACTTTTTGCAATTACCTGGAGTAGTACATTCATCAATTTTTCTCTAACAAGCCAAGTTCTTAATATATGATGATTACTCTTAGCTGAGTTTCTTGTTCTAAGCTTGACGCATGCTATTTGATTCATTCACCGAAGTACAATATGCCCATATCTTTGATGTGTTTCCTTTCTGATCTATTTTTCCATTTGGACCTCTCGCAGGACTGATAATGCAATTAAAAATCATTGGAATTCCTCAGTAAAGAAAAGATTGAACTTGAATTTGCCTAGTAGGTTAGTGCTGGATACAGAAAGTGAGGGATCTCCTAATTTCTCTAGTGACAAGAAAAAAATAGAGATCAAGAAGCATCCGGTACAAGCTCAAAATGCAGAACAAACAATCTTTTTAGGCAAGCAGACAGGATTGGATAATGCTGCTGTTGCTTTGTCAACTGATCTGAGAATTGGATATGCTTATTCTGCTGGAAATGCTAAGCATAAGGATACTTCTTTATTTGGAGCCTGTATATCAGCAGAAGAAAATGTGAGGGATCTGATAAAGCCACTTGGTGGAATACAATTTGGCAAGGCAGATGTTCTTCCGATTGGTGAGACAGATAAACCATGCCAATCCAATTTAAGTCGCACTAAAATATCATATCCACTCTCAGCCTCTTCTTCAGATTTTCCTTTGGATCAGTTGCACCACACAAGTTGGAGTACTTCTCAAGTTGAGGCTGTTCATCCTACTACTTTTAGGAGCATGTATGAATCTCCCAAAAGGTCTAGGCACGATACTGTTAATGATCCTAACTGTGATTTTTTGAGTTTGTCATTGGCTAGCTTTACTGAGGTTCATTCCCAAAGTACCAAGAAGAATAAAGCATATGATACACAATCTTCTTTGGGTCTCAAGCAGCAGGGCTCCTTATATTATGAACCACCACAGTTAAAGGACATGATGATTCCTTTAACAGATGAAAACCTTAGTAGAGACGACCTTATCAGGCAACAAAATGGTCATCCATTTTGCTCTACACCTCCTAGTCTTAAATTAACAGTCTCTGCTAATGGTAGCAGTCCAGAATCTGTCTTAAGGAATTCCGCAATGAGTTACACAAGAACTCCTTCAATCATAAGAAAGAAGAATTCCAGATTTCCTGAAGCTGCAACGCATTCTAGATGCACAGGTACCACCAGTCCCACACATATTTTCCCAAGAGCATCTGACAGGGAAGACACCTCAAACCTGAAGGACAGATTTTCTGGATGTAAATCATCAGCTTCGGGAAAATCTCTTGGAAGACGGTTGGAATATGCCTTTGATATGGAATGGGATGCCTCTAGATGTTGCACACCAGTTTCTGCAGCTTCACCTTGTGCACTTAGACTTGGTGGTAATACCATGCTGACACCATAAAAAAGGTATAATTATAAGTAGTGAAGCAGTTCACTTTTAGTTTTTCTTTATCTTCAGCTTTTGCTGCTTAGTTTGAGAAAATATTATTTATTTATTTATTTGATAAAGAGAATACTACTATTATTTTTGGGAGCTTGAACTCTAGAGTAGCATCATTGTTATGCTAGTTTGGTTAGACAGCTTGAACTGATCTGACAAGTCTGCAAGATATCTTAACCCAACCTCTTATTGATGGATGTGTGTGATTGCACTGCTTTCCCATGTTAGTATATTTTAAGCGGTTACACTTTCGAAATTAGTAGGATGTAAACATGGCCATTTTTTCCACATAGCAAGGTGATGGATGTTTTCAGTCATTTGAAATTCTTATCTAATGCTTCTTAGGCTCCTTGTATTGGATGGGGTACATAAGGGAACTATTGGGCTTATAGCGTTTTGTCTCAAAGAATCTTGAGCCTGCAGGTTTCATGACTTAAAACTGATTTGAAGATAAGCTTTTGTGCACGCGTCTTTTGAACAAAATGGCTGTATTCATTACTTTATTCTCTTTCTTTTTATTTTTGCGTTTATTCATTTGCAAAGCTGAAAGGATTGTATGGTAGAAGGGCGGAAGTGGTATGTGTATAGGGTGGCATATGGGCATGACCATTGCCTTATTCCATATTCCATGCTTTACATTTATTCATTTTTAAAGCTGATAAAATGGTGTTTTCAAAAGCGAGGATATGGGTATGTGCATGGATGAGTATACAGGCGTATACTATAACTCCACATAATATATTCCTACCTGATTGTTCATCTATCCTCCTACAGATTATACTGGTATTAGTGGGCCTTTGACCAGGAACCATTTTGAATTTGGATCTTGACATGTCGGTGGTTTTTAACCGTAGTTATTTTGCCAAGAAGTTGGTGGGCTTACGTGAATTAGGTCGGGGCGGCTGGTGGTTTCGGGATCCCGTAGAAAATGCTTAATCTTATAATTTTCTGAGGATCAGTCTGGAGAGGCTTTTGTTGCAGCATCACAAGCTGGTAAAATTGAGTCTCTTCTCGCATTTGCTTTTAAAGTTGTTGCTTGTGTTCCTATTTCTATATGGTGTTGCATATTAATCCGTCATTTCTGAATTGCACAGTCAAATCATACGAACTGATGGATCTTTCGGGTACTTCTTCGAGGCATGTCAATCTTTGAGGAAATAAAATGTCAATGAAGCAATGACCAAATTGAAGCTGAAGAATTAGTTTGAGATGGAAGTTGTAATTTTGGCAGTCAAAAGAACCTAGTGAGCTTATGGTCTAATGAGAAAATATGGCAAAAAGCTATAAACTACGTGAGCATGGAAATTTGTTGGATAACCCTTGTTTTGGGAGTTGCCCCTATTTCTATATGGATGTAATATTATAATTTGATTTTTCCCTGCCGTACTTCAGAAATTTAGCGAAAGGAAGGGTCTGTAAATATGCATTTAAATCAATTGCCTGCAGTTTTGTGGCATGTTACATGGTTGCAAAAGTTGTGTTTCTAATGCTCGATTTGTCAATCCAAAAAGAATGGTAGAGTTCGGAGAAGTGGGTTTGGATATTAATTCCTTACCGATTTAGTTAACCATAAATGTTTGAGAAGATCATAGTAAAAGTAAAACAATTTGTCTCTCCGAATTGTCACAGTACAAAGCAAATTGAGATGAGCAAAGTATATTTTTAAGTATCAAATTGAGTATCAGTGATTAAATTTTAGTCGCCAAAACCAAACTACAGTATCAGTTAATGATAAAATTTCGTAATTCTGACCCTAGGAAGTCACTTGCCACTGACAAGTAAATACACTCCTCAACTTGATCGATTTTGCATAGTAGTTTTAGATATGGACGTGTATCGTCAGCATTTTCTGGTAGACCATCATTTTCGCCAATAACAGGATTGCATCCTTAGCTATCTCAAAGAGTTTTCGGATAAAATGATAAGAACCAATTATTGCTTTGTCTATCAATTATTAACTAATAATATGTCCTCATTATATAGTACTCCTTTTTTTTCTTTTTCTTTTTTATCTTTATGCTTAGCTGAGAATTATTATTATATTATTATTATTATTATCGTTACTGTTAATTCAATATCATTATCCTTTTTTGAGGTACGATTTGATTAATAAAATGCAAAATGGCAAAGAAGAAATATGCTTTTTTTTTGCGTTTTTACTATTTGTAACAAACTGAGGTATCTATTTCAGTTAGGAACTTAGGAAAGAAATCTTGGAAATCGAACTTTTGAGAAGATTAGAATTCCATGTCAGCCTTGACGTCTGAAATGACTCAACAACAAATTTTAGTTTTTCAAATTGGAATATTTTCGTGTACTACAAAATCACGTCTACACATTGGCCTATGGTGAGGTACTGATTGTGGGGATCGGCGCAGCTGAAACACTTGAAGATGCACATTTAGAGATTCGACGATAAAAATCGAATAATAATCTTTGGACATTAGGTTCATATATGTCCGTCAAAACAAAAACGAAAGAAAGTTTCAGCAGATAATGATAGTAATAACTCAAAAGTTAATCTAATGCAAAATAAACTTATATAGATTTTACAACTTCCAAAAGTTCTTGCCTAATGGTGAAAGAGATATTTAGCACGACGAAAGAGATAGGTAGTATGTTATCGTCATACATGAATCAACTGACTAGATTATGAATATAACTTCATTATAATGTATTGGTTTAAGTTAAAACAAACTAAAAAAAGTAACCTAAACAGTCGTCGGTCATTCAATCGCTTAAAATATTACATATTATCGATCAGATTCATATGTCCATTTATCTCCGACTATTGGGATCCGATTTCCATACCAACGCAAGATAAGCTTACTGGTGACAAAGCAACAACATACCCAATAAAGTCCCACAAGTAGAATTTAGGGAGGGTAAGGGTAGCAAGTGGGCAGGTCTAGGCCCGGGACCACGGGCCAAACGAGCTAAATGGGCCAGGACCGTTTGGCCCGATTTTAGTGGGTCTGGACTGGACTCATGGGCCGGTCCTATGCTTTGGACCCGTCAGGCCTGGGATCATTTTTAGTATATATACTAAAAATTAAATACATTTAGTATATATACTATACTATACTATATGTACATCTTATATAGCTTATATACTATACACTTAGTATGTATATACTTTTTAGCTAGTATAAATATGGAATGATAGAAGATCAAGTTTTAGTTCAACTCAGTTTTAGTTGAAACTGTAATCTGAGTTGAGCTAAAACTTGATCTTCTATCATTCCANTTTTTGTCTCTAATATTTATTTAATTTTTTTTTAAAAAAAAATCCGTTGGGCCCACTTAGCCTATTTAGCCCGCGGACCGGGACCATTTAGCCCGGGACCAAACGGGTCCGGTTCCGGACTGGTCCCTACAAAAAGACCGTTTAGTCCGGGATCGTTTGGCCCGTTTAATTTGGAACCAGCCCGCTTGCCACCCTTAAGGAAGGGTAGTATGTACATAGACCTTACCCCTACCTTGTGAAGGTGGAGAGACTGTTTTCCAATAGACCCTGAACTAAAGAAACACATAAACACCGTAGTTAAGGTAAGAAAATATGACAAAGGAGAGTCCATGTAAAAATAAACAGTAATATAGTGAGAAAAGGCTAACAGAAGCAAAAGCAATGCAGGTCTGAAATCCAAACATGGGGAATACAAGAATATATTAGTACTACAGGTATAGAAAAGCAATACAGGTAAGAAAAAGAATTATGTTTAACGGCTTTCTGGCTTACTACCCTAATTATCGATCTTCACACCCTCCTATCAAGGGTCATGCCCTCAACAAGTTGAACATGTGTTATACTCTGCCTAATCGCCTCTTCCCTATACTTCTTTTGCCTACCTCTACCTCTCCTTGGCCCCGTCATAGCTAACTTCTCACAACTCCTTACTAGGGCATTTGTGAATCTCCTTTTCACATGGCCGAACCATCTCAATCACGCTTCTCGCATCTTGTCACTATTGAGACCACTCCCACCTTATTGGTGACAAAACACTAAGAGTAAGATCAAATTTAATTTACGGCCGTTCTTATATAGCCCCAGAATGTTTCAGTTTATGCTCCTACCTATTATCCGGATATACCAAAAAAGATTGGGGTCAGGAATTCCTATATAACTTAATTGCAAATTGGCCGAGGCCTATGCTTTTTTGAATCCAATCGTAGATATTATGCTAGTCATACCTTTGTTCTTTTTTCTCCTGATACTGATACTCAATTTCTCAAAATATTTCAATTGGTACATGCAAAAAATAGGTGCTAGATTCCACCAAGTATACAAATGGAACCTAACCATATATGTCGTCCGATTATATCTTTTAAACCGCCTCTTGGCAAAAAATCAAGAAATTCACAAAAAAAAGAAAATTGAATCTAATTAGGCTATTCAACTATTTCGACCATTTTCGAGCACCTCATATATTTTTTGGGGATTTAGTTCACTTTCAGAATGCTTTAGTGGTGAAGTGGTAGACACGTGAGAAAAGAAAAAACGAAAGTAAGTTGCTCAATATCAAATAAGAAATCTTGGCGATCACTAAGATTTTGCTTAGAAATCCCGACGAAGTCTTGCCAATATCAAATAAAAATCCTGGCGTTTGCTAGGAGCTTGCTTCCAGATTCTGGTGTAGAGGTTAATTTTGCAAATATTTCTTAATAAAGTGAAAATTTAAACGGTAGCACCGAAAGATCCTACTTGTGCAAATAAATAGGTATCAGTTTAACAAAGAAATTTCACTTGATAAATACCTGGCTTAGATTTCAAATTACATTGTAATTGATTAATTATCATCTCACTAATAAGGGTTTTTTTCGGTTGCTGCATGCATTTACTTATAAGATTGGAAAAAATAAATTCATGTTTTATATAACAGGAATATATAACAAACTTTGGGTTCTGGACCAAAAGCAAACCAACTCGTTGATTTTATCGTACTTGAATTATAATAGCTATAATAAAGCCAAAGGATGGCGTAAAGAATTAGGCTCAATTTGCAGCAACTTGAATAATATTACTTTCACAGAATTTGCTTATAGTATATAGTATATACTATTGCTTATAGTATATAGTATGGGAACAGCTGAACAACATATGCAACAAACGCACTATTGCTCTCAACTTGGATCACTTTTATAACTGAATAAATATTTTTATTAAAATGTGTGTTTATACCATATTTTGGATAAAATAAAAGTTGAGATGAATACAACAACAACATACACAATATTATCCTACACCGATTAGCCACAATAAAGAATACATATAAAATTAGTATAAAACTTAAAACATTACTCCCTCCGTTCCACAATAAATAATTTTTATTTTTTTTTTGTGGTCCAAAATAAGTGATTTTTTAAGATTTCAAGAATGAATTAATTATTTTTTGACAAGAGTGAGTTGCTCTAGTGGTGAGCCCCCTCAACTTCCAACCAAGAAGTTGTGAGTTCGAGTCACCCCAAAAGCAAGGTGGGGAGTTGTTGGAGTAAGGGAGTCGAGGATCTATCGGAAACAGCCTCTCTATCCCAGGATAGAGGTAAGGTCTGCGTACACACTATCCTCCTTAGACTCCACTAGTGGAATTATACTGGGTTGTTGTTGTTGTTGTTGTTGTTGTTGTTTTCCTACATTGCCCTTAAAGTAAATAATATTAGAGTATGTGTTATGAGTGTTTACGTGAAGAGATAGTAAATGTTAATATGATCAATTTCATTGGTAATTAATGTTAAAAGGTGAATTTCTTAATCTTTGTGAAAACATCCAAAAACTCACTTATTGTGGACCAGAGGAAGTAGTTTATAAATCTTTGGCAAGGAGCGTTTTTCCCGAATGAGGCCTTACGCGGTGCGAATTCGAATATAATCGGGCTCAAATACGAATATTGGAAATCGGGCATGAAACAAAAAAAAACATTAGTTTATAGTACTAAATAGTCTGAATTTATATACATACTATATTTCAATGGTAACTCTCCACTTAAAATATTGGATTCAAAATCCATATTGCATTCATTATTATTTATTTGCCTTTTCTGCGCACACACACACAACTCATGCCTGCCAACCCAGCCGTAACTATATTCCAAACTTCCATAAATTCTCTATCATCCCAATCTTCTTCCAAGAACCACCCACCCCACCTCACCCCATACCCCTCTAAAATCCCATCACCCTTTTTTTTTTTTTTAATTCAGTAATGATGACCAGTACTCGTATTACGATTAATTTAAATTTACCTCACGTAAAACTTATTAATAAAATCTTTTTAATAAAAAAATATATTATATAATCGATTTAAAAAATAATAAAAATATATATTATATATATATATATTAATATATAAATTATATATATAATTTTTAAACGACCGACCATTCGAGGCCTCTAATTAAGGTCCCACCACCCTTCACATTCTCAAATGTTCCTTATTTAAGATGTTTGCTTATCCACTTTTCAAAAACAGTCCTTGATTTGCTCAAATTCTTTTCCTTTTATCTCTTCCCTTTCTCTTCACGTATCTTCTACTGAAGCCTTTTCTTCATTTTGCGCTCAGTTGTGACAACCCCTTTTTCTTATTCTTCCATAAAGTTTCATTTTTTTTTTTTTTGGAAACTTTATTCTGTGTTGTGAAAATGGGTATGCAACGCCAAGAAAACATTTTGGTAACAGGAGGGGCTGGTTTTATTGGAACACACACTGTTGTTCAGCTTTTGAATGAAGGGTTTAAGGTTACTATCATTGATAATTTCCATAATTCTGTTGAAGAAGCTGTTGATAGAGTCAGAGAATTAGTTGGCCCTCAACTTTCCCAAAATCTTGAATTTCATTTGGTATGTTTTTTCTACTTTCTGAATTTTGTTTGATCATAACCAACACCCTTGTTCTGAAACCAGAAATGGAAAAGGAAAAAGTTAGAAATGAAAGAATTCTATACATTTCTGGGGTTTTAATCTAAAGGGGGTTAATAAGTTCACAAGAATTATTCGTTTTATAGTAGAATTATGACCCCTTGGCACAAACTTTTTTAGATGGTCATATGTTTCCACAAGAATTTTGTATTTATTGAACCTTATTTAGTGTTTTGCTTTTCGTTTCCTTTTTCATTTTTTGGTTTAAAGTTTCCCTGTTTCATGTTGTTGTCATCTTCTGAAAAAAGGTAATCTTGATCAAGTGGTTGTTGCTGTATCTATGACTTTTTGTTCCTTTTTTTCTTTTTATTTGTTCTGAGATTTTGCAACTAGGTATGTATAATCCTCAGTAGGAAAAAGTAAGTAATCTCACCGTAAATACTTAACCCTGGTGTTTATACTGAATTATATCAGCTTATCATGGTCAAGTGATTAAATGAGGTGACAGTAAGATCAGCTTATCATGGTTATGTGATTAAATGAGGTGAAAGTATATAAAAAGTTAACCATGGTTAAGTAATACAAGTTTAGTGCCAAAATATGTCATGCATCTATTGACTCAAGTGTGGGTAAGTTTTTACCATTTTACCTTCCTTAAATGGAGAATACTAAATTGGATCTTTCACTTGCTTTCCAATTTCATCTTATTTTGCTTCTTGGTGGCAGGGTGATATCAGAAACAAAGATGATTTGGACAAGTTATTTTCTAAAAGAAAGTATGCAAATCTCCTACCTCAAATTAGCTCAAGCTGTTATACTTCCCTTTATATGCATTTCTATGGTGATCTTTTCATTGATTGTTTTGAAATATATATTGAAATAGGTTTGCTGCTGTGGTCCATTTTGCGGGGCTTAAGGCTGTTGGGGAGAGTGTTGATCATCCCTTTCTTTATTTTGATAACAATCTGATTGGATCAATAACTTTGTATTCAATCATGGCCAAATATAACTGTAAGAAGGTATGTCTTCTAATTTATTATTGGTTTTTCTTAAATACATATTGAAATACGTTATGTAATCAGGGCAAGTTGGAATCTGTTATATGTTCATCAAGTTGCTACCTTGTACTTATAATTTTTGTAGAATTTGAAGAAAAATAGTAAATATGAGCTTTTTTCAAGAACACATTTTGCCGCAAAAAGTAGAGAACTTCTGAATTCCTACGGTTGGTGTAGAGTTGGTTGGTCAGGTTGATAACTTTTTAGTTTGATGATGTGAAATTGCAGTTGGTTTTCTCATCATCTGCAACAGTTTATGGTCAGCCTGAAAAGATTCCGTGTGTGGAGGATTTTGAATTGAAGGCTATGAATCCTTATGGTCGGACAAAGGTTTGTATTGTTTAAAGTTATCTCCTCATTTCATTTGATCCTATCTTATTTTGTAGAGTACGAACGATTGGTCACTTCTTCTCTCTAACTTGTGTTTACTTCCATTTAATTAGCTATTTCTTGAAGAGATTGCTCGGGATATTCAGAAAGCAGACACTGAATGGAATATCATTTTGCTGAGATATTTCAACCCGGTAGGAGCTCATGAAAGCGGCAAACTTGGGGAAGATCCAAGGGGCATCCCCAACAATCTTATGCCTTACATTCAGCAAGTAGCTGTTGGTAGATTGCCAGAGTTAAATGTATATGGCACCGACTATCCTACACCTGATGGTACTGCGGTAGGTACTCTTGGCTGATTTTGTAACTTCAGCTTTTCTGTATGAAGAAAACAAGGAAAGAGAACTATTAACCATTGTACTAGCATTCAAGAAGCAGGAAATGAAGAGTGAGCCATACTTAAGAGCAGATTCAATTTATGGAATAGTTATTTATGTTGAAGAATAAGACAGAAATATAATAGGAATATAGCTAAGTAGATTTATGGCATGAACTTGCTAGCTTCTACATGTTTCATTCCATACTTAAGACTGATAAACCATTTATAATCTCTTGCTCGCCAGATACGAGATTACATCCATGTTATGGACTTGGCGGACGGTCATGTTGTTGCACTTCAGAGACTTCTCAAGCAGAATGACTTAGGTAAGTAAATCCTTTTCAAAATAAAGTTAAGCTCTGAATTCTTTTGACTTGTCTGCGAGAAAATGATAAATTTTCCTTATACTTTCAATTGAAGACTATGCTCTTTCATATTTACCTATTGAAGGTAACATTTTTATTCTTCTTTTTGATGTTTTGCCTTAGGTTGTGTTGCATATAATTTGGGAACTGGTAAAGGCAAATCTGTGCTAGAGATGGTTGCTGCCTTTGAAAGAGCATCTGGAAAGGTCTCTCTCTCTCTCTCTCTCTCTCTCTCTCTCCCCCTCTCTCTCATTCTAAATAAATAAAGAAGTTGAATTAATTTAACAAGCTCTTCATTTGTTATATGTTTTGAACTTTCAGAAAATTCCACTTAAAATGTGTCCAAGAAGGCCAGGAGATGCCACTGCTGTTTATGCATCAACCGAAAAAGCTGAGAAGGAGCTTGGCTGGAAGTAAGTAGTAACTGTTTTTTGCCCTTTTCCTATTAGGTATCAAGGCAAATCTTCTTGCACAAATTACAAATTTCAGCAGTTGGAAGAGGATACTAATATGGGAATTAACTATTTTTGTTTCTTTCCGCAGGGCGAAATATGGTATAGATGAGATGTGCAGGGACCAGTGGAAATGGGCAAGCCAAAATCCTTGGGGATACCAATCAAAACCTTGAAATGTTAAATTATACAAGTAGCAGTTGGAGGACTCAGATCAGACCAACATTACAAATGCTCTTTTAAACTTTATAATACTAAGTTTCTTAAGAGTTGGATCTGTAGTTACATCCAAATATTTTACATTTTCTGCAAACATAAATGTATCCGAGGGCTAAAACTGTTCAATATGCAATAATTGCTATTGATGGTTATGTACTAGTGAATTCTGTTCTTGTCCTCCCCTTAATGGTTTTATGGGGGCTTAATTGTTGCCTCCTAAGTCCTATCTATGACCCCTTCAACCAATTGCTTTACTGATTGTAATTCTTCCAAAAAGAGTAAAGGATGTGGTTATTTATTTTATTGAAGGTGACTGTAGCTGTGTGGAGACTGAACCAAGGTCAAGATTGGAGATTTATATAACGTGGGATTAGGTTGTACTGAATTAACGGGCAGGCAATATATACATGCTTCTCGTCCACACATGCGTATTCAGGATTTAAGTTCAATGGAGTTTAACATTTAAGGTTTTCGGATTGAACCCGTATTTCTAAAGTTAGGGGTTTATATATGCTATTTCTTGCAATTATAATGATTTTCTACACTTAAATTTGTGCTCCCCGTAAAAAAATACTGGTTCAGATAAATTCGACACTAACATGTTGCATCCGTCTCTGCTCGTCAAGCACACCTACATGTAGTATATACGATTTTGAGCTACCTTAAGGTTATTTTAACATAAGTATAATTGAACTTTTAAGGTAGAAATTCTGTATCCTTATTTCGTCGGTGAATTGAGAGATGCTCTCAAATGTGTGTGATTACTTACTTCATTCTGGTGAAATCATGGTTTATAAATTGACTTAAACAAGGTAGGAGTAAGTTCTGCGTACGCACTACTCTCTCCAGACCTCACTTGGGGGATTACGGGTATGTTGTTGTAAGTTGACTTAAACATAACATCCCCTGGCTCAGTGTAAACAATTGAGAAATGCCTTCATTCTCAATTGTTGACTTAACACATCCTTTTCTATCACCTGCTTCCATTTAAATTTAGTAGTGGTTAACCAACTATCCTTTACTTGAGACAAGATATATCACCAGCCAGTTATCAGTGTGTAACTTATGTACTTTTCTTCAATTGGCTGCATAACAATCCAAGCTGCTGATTTTCACTAGTTCCTGACCATCAAATTGCGCTCTTAAAACACACTGTTCTTTTGAGTAACACACAGTTGAAAAAAAGAGAGAATAATGAAAGAAAGGAATGTGCTGATGATTGCTCAGAGAATGGTATCTGATGCATCTCCTTCATCAACTCCAAGATCTCCAGCTACACAACCACCTTTGCCAACACCATCACCATATTCGTTTTCTGTGGCATCGACAAGGTTGAGCTCAAGGCCTTCTATTCATACATATGATCTTACCCTCAGGTCACTGTCACTTCTCTTCTCCTTCATCTCCGCTCTCTCACTAGCTGCACCAGAAGGGACCAAACGAAAAACGATTTCCAGATTCTATGATCACCCAGAATTAACGTAAGAATCAATACTGAGATCCACTTAAATGTCTTTTTCTGGTTGTAGGGGATACTAGAATTTAAACTAAGAACAATCAGTCCCATGGTTTTGAGAGCTACTTTACACCACTGCAGGTACTGCTTCACAGTAACTATATTACTTTTTATCTACTCGGCCTTTCAACTCTTCAAAAGAGTTTGTGACATTGCTTATAGAGGGGTCTTGATCTCGGATATGACCTCTGACTACCTCAGTTTCATATTTGATCAGGTACTTACCAACTCCAGTTAGCTAGTGATTTCTTTTGAGTCCACAACCGAAAGGAAGATGGCTCACTGTCTGATTCACATATAACTATGACCATAAAAATGGTTGCACCCTTTCCTTTATTTAAAACTAGTAACAAGAATTTAATCTCTCCCCTCTTTTTTCCTTTTTTCTGGATGTCACTCGAAGGAAATCAAGAATCTACGCTCTCTTAACCACTAAATTTAAATCTTTATGTTGAACATTAACGGTAACAAGCACCAGACAGTAACAAGAAGCAGACATCATCTTATCTCTATCCAAGAAAGAAAGAAACAAAGAGAGAGAGAGAGAGAGAGAGAGAGAGAGAGAGAGAGAGAGAGAGAGAGAGAAAGAAGAGTGCACAGCATCTTAGTTGACTATCAAGCAGCCTAAATTTCAACATTTTTTAATGCTTTTTTCTAGTTCTTCTCTACATTCACTGCAGATAAATCTTTCAGAAACACAAATTCTCATAAGCAGAGTGTTGCACAGTTGGCAGGTTACCTCCTTGTGTCTTCTTCTTCAGTAACCATACCAGTCATTCAACAGATGAATAGCCAAAGCTCTCTCTGGAAGGCGGCTGTTGTTGCTGTTTGCATGTCATTTAGTGCTTTCATGGTCATTGCAGTCTCCGCTCTCTTATCAGGCTACAAGCTGTGCAAAAGGATCATATGGTAATGCACTGGGAATTGGACGCGCATCCTTCAACTCCAGGATTGACAAAGCTAGCATAGAGTGTAAAATGGGGACATAATTTCTTCACCACTTTTTTGTTTCCATCAAGAATGTTTGGCATATACCTACTGTCCCCGACTAAGCTATTGGTCTGGCAGAAGTTAATAAGAAGAGGGTTCGGAAGTTTATAGCAAAGAAGAGATGATATTTTGGTAGAAACTATCCATATTTTAATTGTGTCTTGTCATGGTGAATAAACAGTGTAAATAGAACAGTATAAGCTAGATTTTTGCTTCAAAATAACAGCAACTTACAATTCTATATCTACAGAAAATGTTTTCCTGTATTTCCAATTATGCCCTGAAGACAATAATTAAACAGGACTATATTCCCTTTTCTTCATCGGGAACAAAATTATTATCAATAGTATAAAACACTAGCCATTCCATATATAACCAAAACAGTTAACCTTGATGAACAAAGAAGTAGGTTCAGCTAAAAACCTACTGTTGTTGCCATTTCAACATTAGGAACACTAATTCGCACAGTATTTTTCAACATCTATTTATTAATATCCGGCATATCTTGAATAACATTTGTCTCAGATGACTTACATATATGATTCTAAATACGTAGAGGTTGAAGCAACTCCTTCACCATACCATCAGATCCAATGTAGACTGCCTCGGCACATTCTTTAGAAGGCAAAATCTCATCTAAATTGACATGTTAATGGCAGGCAACAACATTTTCAGCTCTCACCATTAGTAAACAAAATCCAGTTGCCTTTAGTGATTTGTCTTGTAGAAATTTGACAGAAGCATGTGCTATGTAGATTAATCTTCTGTAATGACAAGATTTCCCTCAGAAAATTCACAAGCCTGAATGGAGAGGGAAAGCTGCTTCTGCAGCTTTTTTACAACAAAGACTTCTGGCTCCTCACATATGGTCACCACCGTGCCCTTGCGGCCAAGCCTACCTGTACGCCCAGCTCGATGTGCATAATGAACTGAGTCAGTAGGTAACCCCAGATTAACTACAAGATCACATTCAGGTAAATCCAAGCCTCTAGCTGAAAGCTCGTTTGTTAGCAGCACCCTGACCTCCCCATTTCTGAACTTCTTTAAGATAGTTGATCTTACAAGTTTGCTGAGATCACCATGTAACTCTGCAGCTTTCATACCACGAGCTTCTAGTTTGAAGACAGCATCTTTTAGTTGTTTTGTGTGGTTCATAAAAGCTATCACACACTTGGCATCCAGAGCATGCACACACCTTCTCAACATATCAACTTTGTGCTGTATCCTAGTAATAGTGTAATAATGCTGCAAATTAGGGGGTAAGCTCTGAACACTAGGCATAGCTTGTATATTTGAGCTTGAACTAGCAGTAGAAGGTGTTCCTGAGTTATTAACAGGTCCAGAAGGAGGGACAGACTCGAGCGGGACGACTTTATTGGCTTGGACGAGAAGTGGATCACAACCCCAACTTCTTGCTGCTCTTATAACTGAAAAGGGCACCGTTGCAGACACCATGATAGTCTGACGCGCAGATCGCTTGACAAGTGGACTATTTGACTCTCCCCCACGTGCACCAGGTCTTCTCCCCACATGGTCTAATATCCGCTGCATGTCCTCCCGGAAATTGATAGCAAGGAGCTGATCAACTTCATCCAATACCAAGTAACGACAACCATGGGTAGGAAGCTTTCCAGCTGCACTAATCTCTGCTATCCGTCCAGGTGTCCCCACCACGATGGCAGGCTTATTCTTCCTCAGAGCTTCCTCTTGTCTTGATCGGTTTGCACCCCCTACAAGTTGCTGGACTAGTTTCTTATCTGCTGGTCCTAATAGCTTTTCTACTTCCCTGACAATCTGCATGCCAAGTTCCCTTGAAGGAGCTACTATTACTGCTTCAATGTCCACTTTGTTCCCCTTTCCATTGCCATTTAAAAGTTCCAGTTCCCCCCTCAATGGACCGACTTGAGACAATATAGGAAGGAGATAAGCTAATGTTTTTCCTGAACCTGTGTAGGACTGAATCACAACGTCGTGATTTTTAAGAACAGCTGGAACTGCAGCAGCCTGAACATCAGTTGGAACCGTAAAGCCTTCCTTCTCTAGCCTTTCGACCAACAACGGTGGAAGGCCAAGCTCTGAAAATGATTCCACAGCAAATGGTGCAGTCTTTATATCTACGGGGTTCCTCTCCTTAACCAATCCGGTTTTATTTCCACTAACTCTTTTGTTCACTCTGCTCTTGGGGACCTCAATTGTTGAAACACCCTGCTGGAGCTTATTTTTCTCATTTCCACTTACTGTCTTAACTTCATTCTTCAATCCAAGGCTAGCTAGAGTGAGGGATCCGCTGTCACTTAAAAAGCGAATATTACCTCGAAATGGAGCTATCCTTGTAAACTGTGAAACTTTTCTCAAAGATAAAGAATCCCCAACTAACAAGAGAGCCCTTGTTAGCAATAAAACAGGCATGATTTTTCTAGCACTTGTATACCTAGCTGCTATCTCATGGACGAACTCAAAAATGATATGACTATTTACAATGCCAAAATCCTCTCAAGCAGCATACTATCTCACCGATCAGACTGCAACAAGAACGTTAAAATCTCAAATATATATATAAAAATATTAGGACCTATAACAAGTAAAATTAAGATTTTATCATATCGACATTCTTTTTACTAGAAATTCAGATGTAGTGACAGAGGTATGCCTCTTTGTGCTGTAATATCCTCCCTCTTTGAGAAAAAGGAAAAGAAATTAACATTAGAGCAAAAGGCATGTCAAACATAACTCAAGCAATAAATTCACTATGTCCCAATCAAAACTTGTTGGTGTCTGTTATATGAATTCTCCATATCAATTCCGCTCCCCCCATCAATACATCCTATTTTTTTTACCTGTGTTTGTTAAGCTTTGAAACCCACCTTAGGTACTGAGTGGTGTCCTATCCTCCCTAACTAAACAGAATTCTTTGTGTTCATCTCATACCAACACCAAATAATTTGTCTTTAAAGGCCATAAGCAGAAGAAGCAATTTTTAGAAGATTACTTGTTCACTCTTTAAGAGTGAAGCCTGCACAATAAGAAAATCTAACAGAGACATCAATCATTCAGGACAAATTTTGCCATTTGTTGAAACCCCAGAAACCAGAAACCAATAAAAGCAGACATTTTGTCAAACACATGGTGACCAAGCCCAAGAAAACCAATCAAAACTGCACTCAACTCTTATTTCAACACACCGAACTCAACTCTCATGTCTACACACCTATGCATCCACTATCACATTCAACGTATAAGTGAAGTATTTTTAAAGTTTACTACTTTCAAAAGAGTGAATTGAAGGTCTTTTACCTTATGCTTCTGTTCTCCACCTTAGCTGCTGCTAGCATTCTGTTCCTAGCGAAAGAGAACCATATCCTGTTTCTTATCATTTTGATAACCACAAGGCCCAATTATGAAATATCCCGTTCTATTGGGCTTAAATAAAAAAGTCCACAAACTTTAGCAACTTAAGCCTAAGTCCTTTTTGGGCTGCAGCCCAATTTGTTTGGACAAAATACAAAATTGATCGATCGGCTGAATCTAATTGCATTTACTAGTCAAAAAGTATATAAAATATGTATATTATATTTTGTCAGCTATTATTTTTGACAACAACAACAACATCAAACCCAGTATATTCCCACAAGTGGGTCTGGGGAGGGTATTTGCTTACGCAGACTTTACCCCTGCCTAGTGAAGGTAGAGAGGTTGTTTCTAATAGACCCTCGACTTAGAAAGAGTGAGAAGAGGAATAAGGGGAAGAAGACGAGGGGGTAAAGGGGGGAATTAGTAGTACTAAACACTAACAACAGGGAATACGATAGCAGATGCGAACTAAATCACATGACTAAGTAACGATCTACTTAAGCATATATAGGAACATGAGTGCTACTAAGGAAACTGGTAGGAAAAGGAGAAACTTACAACTACTTACTACCCTTCTACCGTAATCCTCAACCTCCATACCTATTAAGGGTTATGTCCTCGGTAAGCTGAAGCCGCGCCATATCATGTCTAATCACCTCTCCCCAATACTTCCTTGGTCTACCTCGACCTCTTCTCAAACCCGCCATGGTCAGCCTCTCACGCCTCCTGACAGGAGCATCAATGCTTCTCCTCTTTACATGCCCGAACCATCTCAGTCTCGACTCCCGCATCTTGTCCTCCACGGAGGCCACTCCCACTTTGTCCCGAATAGCTTCATTTCTAATCTTATCTCTCCTGGTATACCCACTCATCCATCTCAACATCCTTATTTCTGCTACTTTCATCTTCTGCACATGTGAGTTCTTAATTGGCCAACAATCCACCCCATAAGGCATAGTTGGTCGAACTACCACTCTGTAGAATTTACCTTTAAGTCTTGACGGCACATTCTTATTACATAAGACGCCGGACGCAAGCCTCCATTTCATCCATCCCGCTCTAATACGATATGCGACATCCTCGTCAATCTCCCATTCACCCTGAATAATAGACCCGATATACTTGAAACTATTTTTCTTGGGGATAACTTGAGTATCAAGCTTCACATCCACGTGAGACTCATGAGTCCCGTCACTGAACTTGCACTCTAAGTATTCTGTCTTTGTCCTGCTCAACTTGAAACCTTTAGACTCCAAGGTTTGCCTCCAAACCTCCAACCTTGCGTTGACCTCGCTTTGTGTCTCGTCGATCAACACCATATCATCGGCAAATAGCATGCACCATGACACTTCACCATGTATGCCATTTTGAGAGCGACTAAAAATATACCTTGCTCAATTTGTTTTTAGAACTAACCTGGACTACCCAATCTTCCTCTTTTTTGTTTAAAATTTTAAGAAAAAACGAACTTCAGATGCTTGAACTAGAAAACACTTTGGCCTTTGTTTTATTTTGTCTAATTGTTTAATTTGGTTTGAGTGATGATTACTTTCAAGAAATTAAACGATTGATGTTTAATGCTTAGTACTTCCGACTTCGAATCTCATCATTCTGTTTGAAAAACAGTATAATTTGTGTCAATATCAGGAAAAAGAGGTTTGGTTTCATTTATATTTACTATCAAAATTTTCTATTACATGAACTTGTACACTTGGTAAAAAAGCCACGCAAAATTTTCTATTATTTGAACTCGTACACTAGTGAAGAAATTGAAAGATTTTGAAATCCAATCCTTGATTGGAATATTGTATTATGTGTCTAGTCTATACATAATACCCCTTTCTT